TAACTATAACTGATGTCAACACTCTTCATCACTTTAAAATTTTTCTTAGATACTGCTCTGGAAAAAATTAAGATGCCACTCCATATTTTTTTAAAATCTGTGTTGTTAAATCTTGGTTTAATCCTGGTTCTGCTGGCAGAAGGCTACACTGCGAGGCAGGCTGCTTCCGGGCGGCTACACTGCGAGGCAGGCTGCTTCCGGGCGGCTACACTGCGAGGCAGGCTGCTTCCAGGCTCAAAGTTTCTAAGACGGTACACAAGAACAAGGTGAAGCAGGAGACACTGGCAATGACCAAACACCAGCCAGGTACAAGGCAGAAGTGACCTTCTAATGCCAGAGATGACCGTCAACTTATCTGGCAGTGCCTCATAAATCAGAGGATGACCTCAAGTGACCTTCAAAAAGAATGGGAGACATTAAGTGGGGTGAAGTGAACTGCTAGGACAGTTCATAACAGGCTCCTAGAAGCAGGACTGAAGACCCATAAAGCAAGGAAGAAGCCCTTCCTCAGTGACAAGCAGTGAAGAGCCAGACAGGAGTTTGCAAAAAAAAATATATATATTTTACACAGGTGCACACCCATAAGTTGAGAAATGAGAGAAACAGAAAATTTTGCTGTGGTCTCAATTTTTCCCAGGGCTGTGTTTGGTTAGATGGGTGTAAAAGTTCCTGAGTTGAGGTGCGACTGCCGTGAAGGCTTATAGTAAAATCAAGCTCAATTTCTCAAGTTCAATTTCCATTCCATTGATTGGACAGTTATAGCCTTGTCAGTGGTACTTAGGATAAGCCATTATTTTACTCTCACTGAGACAGATTCCATCATATCCTTATCTTACCATAAAGCTGTCGGAGTAGGAAGTATTAATATTCTGCTGATTAAGGTTTTAAATTATAACAAGTAGCCTAATGCTTGCATAGAATTGCCTTAGATGTGGCACAGTGACAGTGGGTAACACTGTTCCTTCTCACTTCCAGGGTCGTGGGGTTGAAAATCATCCTCTTGGTGTGTGCATTTGTGTGTTTGTGCGATCTCCTCCTGTCGCCTGCATTTTCTCTGATCGGAAGACAAGCGCTTCGGCTAACTGGCATCTCTAAATTGTCCGCAGTCTCTGATTGAATGTGCCCTGTCTGGCTCGCGGTGTCCCCTGCCTTGTGCCCTATGCTGTCTTGGATAGATTCCATCTCTGCATGACCTTTTCCAGGACAAAGCGCTAGAAGATGGATAACAGAACGGATTCATATATCGTAATTAATTTATTTTATAAAATTTCGGTTCAAGGTTAATGGGTAAGCATTTTTAAATAAAATATTTGTGGATTATCAAATAAAACAACCTTAATTTTATTTTAATTATGGGATTTGTAATCTGGAGTATGGGTCACTAGTCACGGGACCCCTTGAATGTGATAGCGGTGTATTGCAGGGCACACGCACGAACGATCACGAACCGTGCAATCTGGAGATGCCAGGAACCTGCAGCAGCCAGTGAAAGCTCATGCGACATGGGAAGAACATGCACGCCGCATACATACCGAGCGGGGACAGCATTTAAACCCCCATCCGTGACGTGTGAAACGACGGCAATCCCTACAGAGTCAACGTACGGCCACTATGATCCGTCATAATAAAAATAACATTTCCAAATACATAACTATTGTTCTTCCTTCCAGGTCAATTTTTCATTTACATTGTTAGTATTGAATTGATTCCATGATTTTCAAGTGTTACCGTGTTTTAAAACCATAAACTTTCCGATCAATAATGAGACCGTGGTTTTTTCACAGTTTGAATTCTTTTGCAACAATTGTATTGTTTTGTGACGATATTATGGCACAATGTACGGAATGAAATATTTAGAGATGGGTTATAAGTATGCTATGCGCGCGCTCTACAGTATATTCGGTCTGGGTAAACAAAACAACGAAAATGTACTGCCTTTTCCCCCTAGAGGGCAGTGCGCCCCCCCACTTTCAAGCACTAATTGGTTTATAATGCAAACGCCACAGATTTCCTTAAATGTACAAAACATTTGTGTCAAGTTACATTTATCGATAGTAAATGAAACGGAAGTTTTAATTATCTGATTTTACAACTTGAGAAATCATTTCAGACTCCCAGGGTTTACATAGTGTAGGCAGTTAGCAGATGTGTTTTTTTGCTATGTAAGTACTTCATTTCAGTGTGCAGTGCAGGCCAAACGTTGAGGAGAGACTGAGGTTCTTAGTTTTACTCTAACTGTTCTGTACTGATTATCTGATATACATTTTTCCCGACAATGGACTGGTACCCTATCCAGGCTGTTTCCTCCCATATGTATCCAAACGCAGTTAGAGGATGGATGGATGGATGGATGGGCGGACAGATGGATGGATATGAATTTCTTCACAAAATATGGGTGAAGCTGAAGAAACAACACAACATTTGATGGCTTAGTTGCTGGGACGTACGATTGTGTGGTTCTCTGATGTCCGTACCTATGAAATCGTGCCAAGGCATCGTGCCAGAAGAGTGTGAAGCGGGATCTGGATAATGGTGTTAATGTGCTGGGAGCGCTTGGCAAAGCACTGCTGAAAAAGAAAAACGGTCAGAGTCAAGATTGCAGGACCTGAAAAACCTTGACAACATTCAAAACAAGGCTGTTAAGTAAGAGAGGGTTTCAGACTGTCGTTTACTGTATGCCTGGTAGGTTGAAAGACTTTCATTTAGTGTAATTAAAAGCAGCGCAACTTAATTAAACCTTGCAAATAAACTGAACTTCCACTATTTATTGTTAGCTTTCATTCAGCATGATCCACAAACCATGTAAGTTAGTTAGCTTACCACTGCCATTTATCCATAATACTACCTTAGAAATGTGTTGTGTTGCCATGGTAGTAATAGCTGAGGTTGTTTTGGGCTTTGACTCCGTGCTGGTAAAAGCGCGTAATGAATCTGACTTGATTTGGCTGATTTCATTGGCCAGGATTTGTTTTCAAATTACAGAATTATTTTTTGTGATGATGTCAGCAGTCCCTGCTGTGATGTCATACACGTTACGTAGGTTAGTCTTTGAGGGTGAAAAATAGACATAAGTGATTTGAGTCTGGTTGTTGGGATTTGTTGAGGTATGAGCGTTGTGTGTGTGAAATCACATTCCACGAGGCTGAGAATGAGAAGGGGTGCAATGTTTTACGGCAGAAATGCAGCTCCTTCTTGTCCATTGTTCACTTTTAGTACCTTTCATTGTTTCACTTTAATAGCGAACCGTCAACGTTCATCTGCCTGAATTTGTGTTACGATTAGGCTGATATATCACTAGCTACTGGTTCGGATTGATGTTGAGATCTATTTCCTAGAGCAAGGTCTAACACAGAACAGAGCTAATATTTAACACATACAGTAAGTATCAAATAGATATATACAACATGACTTTGCAAGCATTTTTGACAATATCACGAACTTCACAGCGTTGGATGGCAGACAGTGTAATCCTGCCATGTATCAGTGCCATTTCCACGCCACCCTTTTTGTAGCTGATGTTCAACCTCAACAGCTCACATCTCTTCAGCATGACGACCTACTGATATTTCACCTAGAACTATATGAGCAAGGAAGTGAAGTGTTTAATGGTAATGCAGCTTGCAGATGATCTGCCTTCACGTTCCATCTATCTAGCCTAACGCATCCTTAATCGCTATGCTTAACAGCAACTGTATGCGTGCAAGTGTCTATGGAAAACGGCATCAACCAGAAAAAAGTCCTCGCACTTTTCTGCCAATGGGATTGGTGAATAAACATGGACTTAAAAAGTTCTCCACACTTGTGAAATACCCACCTGTCGCCGTCCATGCCAGAATTTTATTGCATGATCCAAATGTGGCGTTTTCTGCATTTGCTCAAGGACCTGAGACTGATTTTTGATGGTACCTCTTAAGGTATCATTCCCTTATGCAGCTCATCTGACGACTGTAAAAGAAGTGAAATTCCTTTACTTGTGAATTGCTCCCTATTTATTCTAAAGGACTTACACATTTATTTCAAACATTTCCCGGATGTTCCAAAGGCATCTGCTAATCTGCAAATATTTTTGTGCCATTTGGTTCACAGTATGAATATTCAGACGGTTTTGTGCAGCGCACAGACTAGCGGCAGAGTTCTAGCCAATGACAGCACACTTCACAAGCACTGACAATTACAATATGGCTCAGGGAGCTTTCGCCCATTTTGGTCTGATACACTTGTTTAGAGAGAGGAAATAATTATTATTTAATACACCTTTCTCACACCTCTGAGACCTGGGTTTGAGTCTCTGCCCCGGTTCAATGTCAGTGGAGACATTCAGGGCCCCCTGAATCTGTGACATTATATTATTTTACATATTCAAGCCCCCCCTGTAAAGTGCTGGGCCCCCTGAATCTGTCAGGGTATGCATGGCCCGCCGACGCCCCTGGTGTGGAGTTTGCGCATTCTCCCCATGTCACCATGGGGTTTCTTCCCACAGTCCAAGAACACACTACGGTGAAGTGGAGTTGCCAAATTGCCCGCAGGTGTAAATGGTTACCGTGCGACTGTAGCTTCTGCAATAGGCTCTGGACCCCTACAACCCTGCACTGGACAAGCAGGTATAGATGATGGATGGATGGATGGATGGATGGATGGATGGATGGACATTTACAAGATACAGGAGAGAATCACTTGAATATACTGTATGGAACATTTATTCAGTAAAGAAAAGCAAGAAAACTGCAAAAGAAGTATACTGCAAAAAGAAAAAAACATCACACGATCAACATGTCCGTGGCCATCCTCAGCACCACCGTGACAGAAAGGCTCTTTGCCATAACTCATTACTTACCGTGTTCCCTATTGCTACAGTGCAGGGATGCGAGAAACGCAGATAACCCCCTTGCATCCTTGCATCTGACGTGAGGAGAGGTGTGGCACTTGCCCTCAACGTCACCGTCACACTGGCCAATCATGCAAAGGCGCCCGCACAAGCGATTCCCAGGCGCGACTGAAAATTCCGCTGGTGCTTTAATTAATAATTGGAAGGGGGCAGAGCGCTGATCGCGGAGCCGCCGGTCCGGTACCGAAGGGAACGGCGCACTTTTCTAAGCGGCTCTCAGCGCCGAAGTTGTGCCGGTTGGTACGGATCTGAAGCACCTAATGGATTTAACTTAAATTAAATATCAAGTTGTCCCTCGTTAGTGCTTTTGCCGCTGGCTCCATGCATTAAGACATTTGCGACCTCTCGAAGGTAAGCACGATTTTTTTCTGTCAAATATGAGCAGGAAAGGCAGCGCAGCAGAGAACTTTTTCATAAGCGGGATGGTTTGGGACGCGACAATCTTTGCACCGCATTTGCGCCTAGAATGCAGTTCATTGTAAAATATATTAAAAATCCGAGTTTTGTTGAAGTTTTTTTTAGTAATAGGCTACTGTTCTGTTCTTGTAAGATATACGAAGAGGTCAATTAAGAATTGGTGTGAAATCTTGAACATTTTGATGTAACAAGTGCGCGCGTAGCTTTAAGCAAATTGAGTCGTAAAAAGACGCAGCTATCTATTAAAATCGACGATGTCGGGTGTGATGCAGCGGCTGTTCGTTACTGCCTGCTTACTTTTTCAAACGGAAGCTGCTTATGGCTTGTGCTGCACTCCGAGCATGTTTGCAAAGTGCGGAATTGCTGCCAATCCGTTTCCCAGAGCGTCTGCCCTACGTCTGCAGATCTGCCCAGTTTGCAAGGGCACCCCAGTAATAATGGGCGTCCGGGGGGGGGGGAGCACGCAGCATTTGGATTAACGACACAATGCATGACCGTAAAGGGTTTATTCCTTGAAAACAACCATGTTGGTCTTGATAATGATTAGAGACTATAACGCCGATTTGAATGGACGGTCGGAGTCAAAATTACGACTGATTTCTTCATTATTATTTTTAACTAAATGATACAATGACTATATAAATAATTTCTGAGCATTACCATTGAAGTGTATCGTGTAACGACTGTAACTGTGTTGTGATGTAAAAACTAGTGCAAATAGTTATTTTACTGCTTCTTTGTGTTTTGGGAATAGCATGTTATATTATTGAAAAAAGATACAACGTTCTGTATACAACTTTTTGTTTTCCCTGGGAAAACGTTAACCCGTTTCGAGACCTAGCCTACATATTTGAATATAAGAAATTCTGTCCAAAATCTTGCGCAATCAACCACTTGCAGGCAAAGTCGCTCTAATTGGTAGTGATATACCGTTTTCGGATAGCTTTTGAGAAAACCTCAGTTTTTATCTCTTGGTAGCAAATCCTTTTCTTTTTGTAAAAGTTTTTTTTTTCCTATTTGCAGGCGCATCCAGAAATAGCATTTCCATCACCGTTTCATCCTTATTTTAAAATCATCTATTGCCTTATTTGTTTGCTTCTCTGCCATCTGGTATTTGTACAACAGCTGTCTGGTCTGTAACAGACAGCTTTTGGAGAATAGCAACAGCTCTTTTAAAACAGTGGGGTTTTTTTGCTGGTAAATGATAATTTTTTAAGTAAGGAATTAATGTGGAGGTCATCAATATGCTTTTTGGTTTTGTTTTTGTCTGTCTGTCTATGTCTGTCTGTCTATTTATTTATTTTTCGATTACCCCTGACAGCTCAGCGCCAGCTCCCCCTGTGTCTCTCAAGCTGCGTTTGGGTTCACGTTTGGGAGTTTTTGCGGCACATTTTGCGGGTAGAGCTGCCGATTCCCGCAGAGCCCGTTTTCACGGTTCGAGCCCCAGATGTGCTCCTGCAGTCACAGCCCTCCCTCGCCCGAAAGCCGCCGTTAACCCCCGTTTGCCACAGTGTCACGGCAGAAAACCCCGATGCGCGCCGTGCGCATGCGGCTCCTTTTTACAGAGCGACGGCACCCGGGTGAGTTTGGAGAGCTGGCGGTAAAGCGCTCTGTACCTGCGCCCCTCACCGACACCATCAGCCGGCATGGGGTCGTCAGCCAATATAGTGAAAGCACAACCTTGAAGGAGCGATTTATTGGGAGACCACCGGCTCAAGCTGTCATCAAAATATAACGGCTTCGCCGTAGAGGCTGCATTTACGCACCTTGGTGGCACATAAACGATCGTTTTCGTGTATTAATTGTCTTAGGTCGGCATCAATGGGATAGAGGATAAACCTTACACATTGAAAAATTGCATGACCCCTTTGGAGTACCATCTGTGGCATTTTATACATGTGCTCATTCTGACTTTATTATATACAGGGGAGGATAAACGTTACCAGAAGGAGAGGGAGAGATGGTGGACGTGCTAATGTATGAAAATCATGTTGGTCTTGTAATTTACTGCCTCTCCATCTTTTGATTAATGCTTAATCATCCTAGGGATATGTCTGGATGTTGCCGTACCAGTAGCATTCAGACTGGTAGGTTTATACCTCCTTACAGTGCCAGGCTGCACACACAAACCAGGCTGACTGATGGGATACAATTACAGAGATTCAGTCCTCTGCCGGGACTTTTTGAAAGCCATATAGCTCAAATTCCCGTGACACTTAATTCTTTCTTCTGCAATCAAGATAGTTTTTATGATTGCATCATTAAACTGAGAAACACAACATATTAGAAATGCATTTGGCGTTGATAGTGTCTAGCATGTAGCGTTAGCGCAAAAAAAGTGCCTCAATTAGTTGACGCATTAATAAGGCATTAATAACGTGATCTATGTTAAACTACCGGTCTCGAAAAATAAACACACACACAGTCCTGCAGGGAGTTGCGACGCACCGAAGGAGGGAGCGTATCGTGTTCTGACAAGCTTGGTGCTCATCAATCAAGACTGTAGCCTTTCCAAGACACTAGCTTTTAATCAGCCACTCCCTTAATGCTCATTAATGCTAAGACACCGATGCCAAGGTTTGTATATAATATATGGAGTCTTTATTGTGGTGCGCTAATGAAAAATGTACTGGCCAAAAAATTATATCAATGGGAAATAACACTCAATAAAGAGGAAGTGATTCTGGTGCTGTGTTCGCATATTTCATGCCATGTTATCTTAATGTATATTTATAGTTTCTAAAATGACTTAAACAACCTGCATTTCTGGTGTAAAATGCGCAACCCTACAACTGAAAAACATTCGAGCAATGCGCAGATCTACCTGAGCCTGGTGTAACTATAGTGAATGATTCTCAGTGACAGGCTGGTGACTGGTGTTACCTCCTCATACTGACAGGTCACTGATCCCCTATTGTTAATCAGCAGAAGGTTATAGAGACTGGAGGATTAACCGCGGGAGGGGAGCGTTTCAGCTGTAGGACACTGTGGTTATAGTGCACACAGCAGTAATCCTACAGTAATAATTTTTAGTCTGAACATGCAAATATATTACGGCAGGATTTGTTTACTTGCAGACTTTCAGGGGATTGTGTCACAGTTCTCAAGTGAAGTTCAACTTCCCTGTTTGTAATACAGCATCCTTATACATCAGGGCTTGTGTGCGCTGATAGAATACCCTGTTAGGTAGCGACCATCTCGGGAGTATACCATTGCTGTTTTCTTAGGGTTTTGTCGTCTTAGGTTTGCATCAACGGGAGGGATTAACATATTTAGCGATGCTAGTGTTGGGAAAACAATAAGGGCAATCCGCCAATTAACAATGAAGAGTTTGTCTTAAGCGACGTCGCGTTACTTTCGCAGTGATGTCATGCCTCCAAGTTCGTATTTGTAAAATATCCAGAAAGGGCCGATGGGTCGTTTGCAGATAAGCGCCACGTATTTCCACTTCTCGCTTCCGCTGTTAAATAAATCAAGCATTTCTAAATCCGGAGGCATCGCGTAGCCGCTTTGTCGAGCTGAGCTGGTGCAAAAAAAAGTGCTATATGCTACAGAAAAAGAGAATGCGCTTTCCCCCCGATCGTAAAATATTAAAATTCATGTCATTTAAATGGGTTACAAAGTTTATCATTTTCTCTTAAACTTGAATCTTGTCCCTTGTAAAATGGAAGAAGCTGTTCTTGGCAAATTAATGCGGAGTGTTGCTCAGTTTGTCTGCAGGTAACAAATTGTACTGCTCATACTAATGTATACTGCACTGAATCCACTGACCCTGTATACAGCTGTCCAATATGAAAGACATCTGTACAGGGAGATGTACAATAGTTTGGTAACACTCAAGACTCAAGTTACTTAATTAGTAACTAACTTACTATTCATGTACAAATCATGAACAAATATAGTAACACAGGGTTGCCAATTTTGGTCAGTTAGCTGGCATGAAATTTTCGATTGGAGACAAGTCTGCACTCTCATTTACATGTATGAAGCCATTGTATTACCTTGTGAAGAGTCTGTAGCGTTTGCAAACGACCCCAAAACTTTAAACGTAGCAAATTTTAGGTTTATAATGGAATGATGTAGATTCGCCGTCAGATTTCTTGCGTGAGAGTCTGGTAGCGTGAGTGTCACGCCAGATGCCTGAGAGCCGGCATCCCCTGGTGATGCGTGAAGGAGGTCACATGTACAGTTACGATTGATTACTGATGAAGGAACATGGGATCCAGGGCCTTCATCTTTCAAAATGGGGGTGGGGGATTCCCCACTTAAATGGGGGATAGTACTTGTGAGCTTAACTACAGGTCTTACCTTGCCCTCTCCACCTTTACTTGCCTCAGCTTGCATTCGTTGGTTTCCTACACTTTAAAGGATTCTCTGTACTATACAAATTGCTGTAGTTTGCCGTCTCTCCTATTAATCGTCATCCCTGTGAGCTGCATCAGCGTCCTTAGTCTTTCTTTTGGTAGCTCCCTCTTCTCTCATCTCTACGCTCTATTCTTTCCCTGCACTCTGTTTCCTCCGCCTCATCCCCCTCCACTTGCCGACGGCGGCCCATGTTTGCATGCCTTACAGTTCATATCATTGAAATCTGGATGTATCCTAGCGAGAGATGCTGCCACAGCAGAGGGGGCTGTCACTACCTGATCTGTGCCACCTGCCTGATTTGTACTTCACAAGTCTGTGCATGCGCAGCATTTTCTAGCGTGCTTACACACGCATAACATTTCCTGGTCCGTTCTGTTCGTCCTGCCATTTTCTACATTGTTTGCATTTACTATAAACTAAACTGGTTACTTTTATTGTTTAGCAAAAACTGGTGTTAATGATTGTGCTGAAAAGGGGAAAATGCATTTACTTTGCTTGTAATTTTCAGGGTTCACTCTCGTCTGTTTCCAGTTTATGGAAATACTAGGTTGTTATGGTGGGTCATAGCA